ACAACAGAGAACGAGATGGCTGGATGGGGTCACTGAAGCAGTGAGCTTAAATGGACTCCAGAGGATGGTAGAGGACAGGAAGGCTTGGAGGAATGTTGTCCATAGGGTTGCAATGGGTCGGACACAGCTTCGCAACTAACAACAGCAATTAGTAGATCAGATTCTTGAGTATAGGTTGCATGGAATACACTCACGGTGCTTTTGAACTTTATCCTGATTCCTGATTTCCTGCACCTGGCAGGAGGGGGAATATTTTGCTGGACCTTCAAAAAGAGATCCAGAGCCGCCTCAGAAAGAGATCCAGATTAAGAGACTCTCAGCAGTCCAGAACTGGATGATGGAGGGGGAAGCGGTTGAGGGTAACCAGATTTTAGAATCTCTCAGGATGTATCTAGCAGGTTAGAAAGTTATAACTTTAGTTTGGCAAGATTCTCTCCATTATGTAACACCAAATAAAGGAGCGAACTTTATTGGATCTTACTGACTTTTCACTGGGTTTGGACCTTAGTCTTGCCCTACATCATAGTCACCATGTATGAGTTGGGCAGCCATAATAAATTGTTTAATACCTAAATAATTATAGTGCTATGTTCTGGATTAAATGTGACTTCCAGACTGGGGAAGGAAATCCTTCATTAATATAACCAGAAGAATTACCATATTTTTCGGACTATAAGACGCACCTTTTCCTCCCAAAAAAGAGGGTGAAAATCTGGGTGCGTCTTATACTCCGAATGTAGAGGCTGAAAAAAGCATCGGAAATGAAGCTTCAGAAAAAGAGCCCCCAAACAGAGTTTCAGAGGCTTTTTTTCTGAAACTCTGTTTTGAAGGCTTTCAGAGGCAGAAAATAAAGTTTTTTCTGAAACAGTTTCAGAAGTTTCAGAGGCACAAAAAAAGGCAAAAAAAAAAGCAAGGCAAGGCACAGAGCTCACAACCAAGGAACCTGTTGCTAAAATTCACCTCTGGGAACAGCTGATTGGGGGTATTCCACCTGCTAATCAGCTTTTTTCTTATTTTCCTCCCCAAAAACTAAGGTACGTCTTATACTCTGAAAAATATGGTAGGACATCTACTAAACTTATCTTCCATACTGGAAAGTAAATTCTACCTAACATTATAACCATGCCTTCCATTGCATCTTCCTTGATGCCAAATCACTGAGATTTCTGAATGCCTTCCTCCTCTGCTTCTTAGGAATTAAACTATACAGTGTATACATTTTTAATCTGGATGTAAAATATATTAACATGTTACGTGGTTGGCTATTTATCCCCATGGATGTTTAGAAGGCAGTGTTTTGTCTGTTTGGCGGTTAGATTTGTGTCGATTATAGGAAGGTGCAACAACCCACTCTTTTACATTTGGTTACAATTTAAAATCCTCTCGTAAATATTTCAGACACTGGAATAATTCAGCCTTATTCCCTTGTTGCTGTAGTGTGGCCTGGGCTGGCCAGCGAGAGATTAAAATTTATTTTCATTGTTTAAGGGAAAATAATGAACTGCATCTGCTGGAGCTCTCACGTGTCATGGGGGAACTGTTCACTTTGGAACAAGGTCCCAACTCCACCTAGACTGTCAAATGACGGAACCTTTTTGGCACACAAAAGCAACACGTTTTGGGGCAGGAATGCAAAGGCACCCTTTAATGTAAAGTATGACAAGTGCGTTTTGGAATGAATTAAACTCATATTGAGGAGAGAGAGCAAGAAAGAGCATGCATTTGTTCAGTCAGCACAAAAATGGTTTCGAAAGAAAAAGCGATTTTCCTGCCCTGATCCCTTCCCTCTCCAAAGAAAGGGAGGAGAAAGGAAAGGAAATAATTTATCAGCTGTTAAAGACTCTTTTACAACGGGATATCTAAGGATTAAGGCAATCTTCCTTGCACCTTGTGAAGTTTTTGTTCTTTTCTCTCCGTCATTCGCTCCTAGATTCCAGTCCTACTTTTTCCTCCCTCTCTTGTCACAAACATGAACTAAAAGCTCACAACTATCATGTCCAAGTTGTTTTCCTGAATCTGAAGATGTTTCCGATATTTTTTTTATCCATACAGCTTCCTGTTTTTTGCAGTTTTGTCTTGCCTGCTCTTAACTTGGAAATGCAGCATTTCATTATATTTCTAGGATATTCATCTGTTGTCAAAGCATGCTACAAGTTTTATTTATTCATATTTCATATTTCTTAACCACCCATTTCCTTTCCTTTACAAGTGTTGGCTTCCCCGTGCCTCTTTTTGTCTCTTTAATATTCTATGATGGGTTACACACAAGATGCTTCAATTAGACACCTAGAAACAAGGAGTGTTTCTGAATGAGAGGATATTCAGGTCAGATGAAGGGGAGATGAATGATGGAAGACAGAGATTAAAAGGAAGCAATTAGCCTGTGGAACTCACTACAGGAAGATGTAATGATGGGCACCAACTTGGAAACTACCTTCCTTCCTTCCTTCCTTCCTTCCTTCCTTCCTTCCTTCCTTCCTTCCTTCCTTCCTCACAGTCTCTCACTTTCTAGCCCTGATATTTTTTCTGCATGCAAAATGCTTTTGTGGAGATACTTTTTCCTGCATATTTCCCAGTAAGGCAGTTTCTTTGTTTCCTCCTTCCTAGCACTTTCCTGCAACTTCAGGGTCCACATTTTTTTTTTGATCAACCAAGGTTTGGTCCATTTGATTGCAACAGGAATTGACCAATTAGCTTGTCACCTGAGCTTGACATCATGGACTGAAAGAGAATGACTCACCCAAAGTTAGCCAGCCTATTAAGGTGGGACTAGAATTGTGGAGAAAGACACAATCCCATCACCAATACTAAAGGCCTCTTCAACCTTCAGATTTTTGGAAGAAGCAACCCTTTGTCTCAAGCCTAAAAAAATATTGATTATTTTATTCAAAGCACTTTATTTAGTGTGATTAGAAAAGAGCATGAGTAAAGTACACAAAGAAGAAAAAACAAATTACTCAAAGGAAGGATAAAACTTTGGGCAAGAAAACCACTGACATACTTTCTTCAGCCATTCCACCAGGTGTCAGCAAAATAAGAGAATAAAACCAGGGACAAATGTCTATGGAGATTCTCAGTCATTTAGGTTGTTCCAAAAGGTGCTTTTTCAAAAGGCAACAGGTTTTGTTTTTGTTTTGGATGAGAAATGTTTTGCTTCTCATCCAAGAGAACTGAAGAAGCTTCTCGGATGAGAAGCAAAATGTTTTCAAGGAAAAACAAAGTCCCGTTGCCTTTTGAAAAAGCACCTTTGGGAAACCAGGGACAGTACCTGCTCTGTTGAGAAGCCAATTCATCAAACCCTGCCTCTCCCCTACTTGAAGCTGCCCCATCAGACACCAGGAGTAGGAAAGGCAGGAAATGTAACTACCGTGTTAGCACAGCAGTGAGATCGGTGCCTTGGCTTCTTCCTGCCTTTGAGCCGTTTCCATTCTGTCTTTAACTAGTGCATCTCTCAGAAGAGTGTTATGATCAGATTCGCAAACCATTACAGCTTTATAACACAAGGGCTGCTTTCCTTTGCTGTCTCCATTCCTCTTCCTTTGAGTTGCATTGTTTTCAGAAGCCATTTAGGAAAGCAACTTTAAATAAAGAAATGACCATATCCATCTAAGGAGGAGGAGTAAGAAAACAAAGAAGAATGGATGGTTTCGTTCAATTCTTAAAGATAGTGGTGATGACGGATAAATATCATTGGGAAGATTGTTCCAAAGTTCTATAAATTTCATCTCAGACAGGACATAGATAATGCACAGTAACCTTCAGTAAATTTGCTCCAGGAAGACTCTCTTTAACAGATTAACAGATTAACAGAGTTGGAAGAGATCTTATAGGTCATCTAGTCCAACCCCCCGCCCAAGCAGGAGACCCTACACCATTTCTGACAAATGGCAGTCCAATCTTTTCTTGAAAGTCTCAAGTGATGAAGCACCCACAACTTCTGAAGGCAACTTCTGTTCCTTTGGTTGATTGTTCTCACTGTCAGAAAGTTCCTCCTTATTTCTAGGTTGAATGTCTCCTTGATCAGTTTCCATCCACTATTCCTTGTCTGGCCTTCAGGTGCTTTGGAAAATAGCTTGAATTACTGGAAACTAGAGAAGGGCGACCATTTTCTTAATTCAGTCAACATTTTCATCACCATGTTATCTGAACGTTTGGGGTAAAATGATTGGCATGTATGACATTGGCATTATGTGCGATGAGATGTTGTGCATTTGTTATGTTTATGTACCATCTTTCCACCAGGAGCTCATGGTGGCAGATAGAGAAACCTTTTCTCTTATTTTTCCGCATAACATCAACTCTGCTCTGGAAGGCTGAGTGTGATTTGAATATGAGTATCCGTGGTCCTATTTTAGTGTCTTTACCATTGCTTCACACTGGAATCTTCCATTTCTACCTATTCACAGCTTTTCAAAAGGAAGTTGGAGACATTGTCTGCTAAGAAACTTAGGAACAGCTACTTACAGTCTGTTGCATCAAAGCATGACAATGTTGTTTATGTCCTTAGGATGTGATGTTTAATACAGGCTTAGTTGTTTTACATGAAGATTCAATTCAAATATTTGGTTTATAAATCAACTCATCTCTTTGTACTAAAACTGGTCTGGCATATTGAATTAAATCAAGTCCGTTCAAATTGATTCAGTGATCAAGTTGGACTTTCACAGAAATGTCCCCACAGTTTTTTAAAAAACTGATGAACCAGATCAAATCACGTTTATTTGGTTGTTTGAATGGACAATCCAAACTGAATCAATTCAGCTGTCAAAAATCAAAATGTTGATTCATTTCATCTTGGGCAAGTACACATTGCTACTATTATTGCAATCGAGATAAATACGCTATTTTTCATCCCATTTAATAGGTTAATCCTTATAAGGACTGGATTTACTTTTACAAAACAAGAATGAGAGCTTAAACTTGACTAGGTAATGAAACATGGACCATGGAGATGTAATTTACCTGCCTTTCTCTTTTTTGCTTTTTTTTTTAACATGCAGGTTGTGTTATCAACAACAGTGAATGTTGATGGGCATGTCCTGGCAGTATCAGACAATATGTTTGTTCACAACAACTCAAAACATGGGCGAAGAGCAAGGAGACTTGATCCTTCAGAAGGTAAGTTTACTTCACTGGTCTTCAGAATGATAGTGGAAGAAGTCATGCAACATAGGCTACCTTCAAAAGAATGCAAAATAACTTGTCTGGTGGCATGAGTTTTAACCATAAACCTCCATCCCAATACTTTTACACACCTAGATTCCTCCAGGATATAAAGTGTTTTCCCAAAGTCTTCCAAAACCTGATGCCAAGTTGTAATTTTTATCAAGGGGTAGGAAGGAAAAATTATTTACAAATATAACTGGAAAATAATCAATTTAATTGTGATTAATTTGAATACATTTTTAAGATCAGTGAGATCAAATTGAACTGAGTTTCTCTCCTGGCCTCGTGGACTATTTTTGGCCAGTCACTTGCCAGGTCCTCCCAAATGCCAAAATGGGATAAGTTGCACATTTCTATACTTGTTTTTCGCACATCCTAAAATGTTCCAAGGATGTCCTTTGAGAACACATTTGAATACCTTTCTTTCTTTCTTTCTTTCTTTCTTTCTTTCTTTCTTTCTTTCTTTCTTTCTTTCTTTCTTTCTTATCAAGAGTGCCTTATTAGTCCTCCTGCTCATGAGAGTGGTGGGCATACGTTCAAACAAATGCTCTTAGTGGGCACTATTTTTACATTTGACTGGAATGCATGACATTTTAAGGACATAAAGAATACTGTAGAAGTATTTATTGGTGAACATATTTGTATGTCTACTTTGGATATACAGTGGTACCTCAGTACTCATCGATTGGTTCTGGGAGGTGTGATGAGTATCAAAAATGAGCATCAAACACATTTTTCCCATAAGGAATAATGTAGTGAGTCACAAGGCAGCTGACACCGATTTTTAGCTTCTGTGTCGAGTACCAAACAATCAATAAGTACTGGGCAAAATTTTTGTGTCAAAATGCATTGAGTACCAAATTCGATGAGGTTCAAAGCAGTACCAACTTGTGTACCATTGTATATCCAATGCTAGGTTTATGCTAGAACTATACTTTGAGAAGCTTGATTTTCCTGAAATCTATCTTGAAGAACTCCCAAGTTATATTTATTTATTTATTCCAATTTATATACCGCCCTTCTCCCGAAGGTCTCAGGGAGGTGTACAGCCAAAAGTAAAAGCACACAAATATAAAATTTAAAAATGATTTAAAAGATGATATGGTCCATCATCTCATTGATAAAGGAAATGTGTAGCTGCACATCTCTAGAAGGTATCATCAAGCCTATGTGTGCAATATACCAAATGTCCAAGGCAGTTTGAGTCATCCCAAAAACTCTACCCCCGCAGGAAATTCTCTCAATTTATATCTTGTTTTCTAATTTGAAACTGATGATCCTGTTTAAGAACATATCAGAAAACTACAGCCTTGGTCAAGGGGTGACCAAGACAAAGATATGGATGGGCTCTCTGTCTGGAAATGAGGAAAGTTGTGGAAATATCATCTTGGGAAGGATACCATGGCTAAGCATAAATCAAATGTAGTTCATCATCTTTCCAACAAACTTTTAAATGTCTGAAGATGTCTTCCAAATTTCTTTCTAATCATCCCTCATTTCAGGCTATGCATAGCTGGTTACTTCCAGCTTTTCTAATCAGAATTGACCTCCAACCATTGGTGGGTTGTTACCGGTTTGCCCTGGAAGGCTCCGCCCACCCACCCACCCAGATGTCTCTGCACATGTGCAGAAACATTGTGCGTGCATGCCCACGAGTGAACCAGTAGCAAACCAGTAGCCTTGGTAGTACAGTGGTCTAAAGCACCCTGTTATTAAGACCAGCTGCTTGCAATTACTGCATGTTCAAATCTCGGCAGGCTCAAGGTCGACTCAGCCTTCCATCCTTTCTAAGGTGGGTAAAATGAGGACCCGGTTTGTGGGGGCAATAAGCTGACTTTGTATAAATATACAAAAGGATGAAGGCTATTGCTTAGCCCATTGTAAGCTGCCCTGAGTCTCCGGAGAAGGGTGGCATATAAATCAAATTAAGAAGTAAGTAAGAAGAAACGGAATTGAAACCCACTACGGCCTCCAACCTTTTACTATCCTTGTTATCTTCTGGACATACTGTATAGTATTATTATGACTAGCTATCATTGTCTATCGTTAAACTTTCCTAATTCTTAATTCTTTAATCTTTCATTATTCTTTGTTCATATTTAAACATCATACTAACTTGAACTTCATCTTGTCACATAGGAGGGCCAGTTCAGTAGTCAGGGCCACAGCGTCAAAGCTTTTTCATACATTAGCGTAACAGTTTCTACGGAATTAAAAAAATATACCCAGAAAAAAAATATGTTAAAAAAATAGTTATTGCAAATCATTTTCCCCACCATTTTATTTTGGCTAGTTATCTACTTTTTAATAAAGTAGAACACTGGTATAATTTATTTGATATCAGGGCCCAGTCTCATGGACCTCTGAGTCATTTTTGGCAGCCCAACAACCATATTTAGGAAAGTTGAAGTTTTGTGTCTCTTGAATAGAAATAGAGAAAGAAATGGCTCTCTGCTTGTAATGGACTGTGTGGATGACCTTGGGAAATGAAAGACAGAGAAGCTGCCTAAGAAGCAATCAGACAAGAGAGGCAGGAAGCCCCCAGTGGCTTAACAGAGGAAGAAATTTAGGAAGGGACCGGGGTGGGTTCTACTTACCTTTACTACTGGTTTGCAATGGGGCTGCATACACACGCTTCACTCGCGCGCCTGTGCGTGCTTCTTCGCATGCGCAGAAGCTTCCTGATGATGTCGTGGTTGGTAGGCGGAGCCTCCTGCCAGTTTTACTACTGGTTCTATAGAACCGGTCCGAACCAGGGGCAACCCACCACTGGAAGGGACCCACCCTAGTGGATAAAGCAGTTAAAAGTGGCAGCAGGAAGTATGCACTTTCAGGCTGGCGAGATTTTGTTAATGCTGCCTCACAATCAAGTAGAATTAATTCATCTAGTCATGCTTCCTATCTCGTTCACTTGAGAAGACCGACAATGCTTGAGCAGGACAAGCCCAAAGGCAGGCACTCAAAACCAACCCCAAGGATCACAGCTGACTCAGTTCCTATTCTTTACCACTTGCTTGGTCTCCAGTCCTGGACCTAGTTCTCATCATGTGGGACCAGGAGTGTAGACCCTTCCACATGGGACTTATTCCTTCTTGTCCTGTATTCTATTCTATGCCTGCCAAGATTGGCAAACTGCAGCTATACGTTTCTGCCATATACTTCATCACTGGAGGTTTTTAAGGAGAGACTGGACAGTCACTCGTCTGAAATGGTATAGGGCAGTGATGGCTAACCTTTTTCAGACCAAGTGCCCAAAGCATGCGTGTGCGCGAATAAGCACATACTTGCCCAAACCCCCAAAATGTAATGCATGTGCAGCCCCCCATGCATGTGTCCTGCCCCCATGCATGCACCCTGCCCCCACGGGCATATGTGTACAGCCTCCCCGCATGCCGCATGCCCCCCGTGCATGTGTGCGCCCCCCTACATGCCCTGCTCCCTGCATGCAGCCCCCCGCATGCACGGTAGAGACCTGACGACCAACTGGCTGGTGGGAGGTGCTCGTGCATGGCTCGCATGCCCACAGAGAGGATGCTGCATGCCACCTGTGCCACCTGTGCCATAGGTTCACCATCACAGGTATAGGATCTCCTGCTTGAGCAGGGGGTTGGACTAGAAGACCTCCAAGGTCCCTTCCAGCTTTATTCTGACTGAGTGACTCAGTTTCTATTGTTCTAAAATGAGTCTGAACAGACACTTCCTTTCTCTCCCTCTTTCTCTCTGCCAATCACGTTTGATCTCATCTCACATTTTTTTTTTAAAATTTGATTTATATGCCGCCCTTCTCCGGAGACTCAGGGCGGCTTACAATGTGTTAAGCAATAGCCTTCATACTTTTGTATATTTATACAAAGTCAGCTTATTGCCCCCACAAACTGGGTCCTCAATTTACCTACCTTAGAAAGGATGGAAGGCTGAGTCAACCTTGAGCCTGGTGGGATTCGAACTTACAGTAATTGTAAACAGCTGGTGTTAATCACAATGCTATCAATCTGCTGAGCCACCAGGTCCTTCCTAAAGGAAGCCCTAACATCTTATATGTTAAGGCTTCCTTTAGAGCAGGGGCTCCCAACTCCTGGCTCACAGTCTGGTACCAACCGAGAAACGCATGTTACTCTGAGCTTCTTGAGTTGTGTGCATTCCATAAACCAGACCACGGATTTGTTAAACAAGCCATAGCGGCCTACTTTATATGTGATACTAAACTATAAGCCATGATTTAGAAAACAGTATCTAAATTCACACATCCCAGGGCTTAATGACGCACGATGGGTTGAATAGACTATGTTGATGGTTGGTGTGAGGCCCTAAATTATGATTTGCAAATTGAAATGGCTGGCTTCCACACTGTAGTAAACCCAAATCCACCTGCACCATGGCTTAGATTAACAAGCTCAGTGTTTGTACGTCCCCTGGAATTACCACCATAATTATATCGATCAGGCCAGGCAAATCTTTGTGGTCATACCATACAAATGAACAGGGCAGGAGTTTTTTTTCCTGCTTTGTAGAGAGAGGTTTTCTTTTGCTGTTAAAACTGTGTGAGCTCTCTTTGAACTTGTATCTCAGTACTTAAATGTTACCCCGTCAACGTGAAATTTGACAGTGAAGTTAGAGGCGACCTGGAAGCCCCCAGATTTCCCACTTGCTTTAACCCAGTGTTTCTCAACCTTGGAAGCTTGAAGACGGGTGGACTTCAACTCCCAGAATCCCCCAGCCAGCAGCGCTGGCTGGGGGATTCTGGGAGTTGAAGTCCACCCGTCTTCAAGCTTCCAAGGTTGAGAAACACTGCTCTAACCCATCAGAAAAGTCAGTTCTTGTCTAAAATCAGCATAATTTCCTCTCATTTAAACAAAGGAAGATGAGAGCAAAACAAGGCAAGTATAGCACAAGGACAGATATGTCTTAGTAATCCGGAATGGGACAATTTATCCATCTACGCCAGGATTTTG